GGAATGGCCCTTTGCTCTTCCTTCTCCTCTCTCTCTCTCTCTTCTCTCTCTCTCTCTCTCTCTCCTCTCTTCTTCTCTTCTCCCTCCCTTCTCTCTCTCTCTCTCTCTCTCTTCCTGCTGGGCTGATTGCTGTCTGGCTTCTCTCCTCACCTGAGTATTTCACTCTCTCTCCCAGGCAGCCAACCCACAGTGCATTGTGCTGGTGATTACCCCACTGTGGGTAATTGCGGCGGCGGTTCACTCAATGTTATTTCCCCCACTCTCTACCCTTACATAGGAGGAGGCACCTCCCTTCAGACAGAGGGGAGGGGGTATGTGTGTATTATTGGGAGGGGGGAGCTAATAATGAATACGCTGCATGTGTTCCTGTGTGCATTGCATTTATTTATTTATTTATTTTTACTTTCTGGAGTAGGTGTCTGTGTGTGTGTGTGTGTGTGTGTGAGTGTGTGTTTGTGAGTACAGTGAAGCCCAGCAAGTCATGCACACGGTCAGTTCCATCTCTCACGTCCTTGAAGAGAAAAGCGAGTCAGAAAACTGCTTTTACCGTGGCTCACTCTTCCTCTTTGATAGGAGCAGGAAAGTCATAAAGAGCCAGTCCACTTCACTACCTGACAGCCTCTCTCACCCTTGAACCTCAGTGTCTCAGACAACATCGCTGTGTCCAAAGGTATTTTGTGGGAGAGACTCAGACACATTCTTTTTTTTTAGCTGTTGCAGCAAAATCACCCAAAATTAAAAATAAGATATATGTTGATTAGCTCTGTGTTTGTCTCCCTATGTATCCTGGCTGAATCTGAGTATGCTCAATAGTAAATAAATACATTTATGAAATAAATAAACAAGATATTCTTAGTATTATACATTATTAGAACTAAAACTAATCTTTTTTCATTTCATAATGATCTTTTCCCCAGTTGACTTTTATTTCATAACTCCACTTTCCATAACTGTGGAGTTGTCACTAATGCCTGCCCCTTCAGGTTTCAGCAAATCAAATGCCCCTAGCCTCTCTTAGCAGGGCTCAACAATTACTGCCACCGTTTGCAGCTAGACCTTGTTTGTAAGAGCAACAACAATAAAACTATATCAACCAACTAGCAGCTACTCTAAGTAAATGCAGTGCAAAGACATAGTCAATAAACTCTGCTTTTATTTAGTATTGGAAGGCTATGCTACCTAGCTAGCCAACTGACTAGCTAGGCATCACGTCAAACTGAAGAGCCAGTGTGAACAGAAGCAACTACTGTACGTTGTGAATTCAGAGTTACCTCTGCAGTGTTTTCATTGAAGATGTTTCTCAGAAAGATACACAACTCTGTGAAGAGTCAGGAAGCAGCTAGCTAGCTGGCGGCACAGATCTGGCTAGAAGTCATTGAGCCCTGCTTAGAGATGCTAGATACATTAGCCAAAAGCTGAAGGGCAGGCACTGGTGCAGCACTCTGCCATGAAAAGTGGGATTATGAATTGAAAGTATAATTTGGAAAAATGCCATTATGAAATAAAACCCAAATTATTGGCATAAAGTGTCTTTAATGAAACTACCCAACAGTTGAAACGGTTCTAGGAAAGTGTATTTCACCTGTTTTCTGTTGTATTTTCTCTCTATTTGTAAGAGGATTTGTTGGAAAAAAATCCTGCTATATTAAAGTTGTCTAGATGCAGGGTCATGGGATTTCCTCCATTGGTTTTTGCAGTATCACTGTTTTGACAGTGTGGTCAGTGTAATGCCTCAGTGGGATTTAGAGAGTTGGGGTGGTTTAGTTTAGGGATGTAGTGGATCAGGTCTTTTTTATAAACTGAAACCCTCCTGAATTACTAACCTCTGTACTGTCTGGGCATGGAAAGGACTCTAGATAGACACTTTGAGCAGACTGCCACCTAAAATAACAATAAATAGTCCAAATGTGGGCATGAAGCATGGCAATTGATCTGCTCTCTGCACAGCTGGACAAATAAAGAGCACTCCCGCTGTATTCGGAGACATGCAGGTTTGGGTCAAAACAATCCCTTTAAGTTAGAAATGATGTGTGTACTGTTTCCTGTTATCTTAATCTCTGTTTGCAGTCCAGTCCCAAGGACGCATTGATTTCCACAGAGCAGTGTGAGGAAGAATAGATGAAGATGCCAACTGGCTTTATTATCCGACCAATTCCATTTTAGGCTGATCAGACCAGCTAACACACATCACCCAATAAACACATATTTGTTCACAAGCACACATGAATTTCACTTCTCCTCTTCAAGTTGTCTTGTTCTCAACTTGCACTCTATCCCTCCCCTTTTCTGACCTCACCGTTTGTTTCCCTGAGAAGCAGGCTTTTGGACTTGTGCTTGACCTGCAGTGCTTCTGGGGCTGTAAATATTTTATTTACATACATAAAGAGCACAGGGTGGTTTGAGGATCTTCCATATTCAGCAGAGGAAAGAATATACAGTGATACTGCTCTCACCTTAGTCTGAAATCCATCAAACATGTAGCTATTCCCTGACAATCCCAGTTTCATCTGCAGCACGAGGACATTCAGGCCAAGAAATCATAGTCGTTTCTTCACCTCCGCTGTGTGTATATGTGTGTGTCTGTGTGTGTGTGTGTGTGTGTCCAAGAGGCAATGAACAGGCACTGAAAAGAACACAGGATATGGAACAGAGAGAGGGAGAGCAATAGAGAGAGAGATTTCATCTCCTCTCTGCCTGTATACATATCTGCTAGAATGTAGGTCAGGCAGCCCCAGTCACTCTCAGAGCCTGGGAGAACAAGATTGCTGTGTGTGTGTCTGTGTGTGTGTCTGTGTGTGTGCATGCACATCACATGAATAAAGCATGTGTCTCTCTTGTAATATGTGCTTATTTGTGTGTGCCCCTTGTCCTCATGGGCCATATGTTTGTTTCATTATATGATGAGTGTGATTTTTTCTCTTTGTGTGTGTCTGTGTCTAAAATGCCTGTCATGTACAGCATTTGTCATGGAAAAATGTCACAGTGGACATCACAGCCCACTTTCACATACTGCAATGTACATAATCACACAAGAGAGTTCTTATTACAGTTGTGTGTGTGTGTGTGTGTGTGTGTGTGCGCGCGTGCGTGTGCACGTGCGTGAGTGTGTGTGTGTGCCACAACAGCCAGTCCTCCCAGGCTATTTACAACATGTACCCTGGCTTTGATAGATATAGGATCCCAGTAAAGGGCAGGCATGGTCCTCTCTCATTCTCCAGGAAATAGAATGGGAGAAAATCACACACACACACACACACACTTGTAGGATTCTGGGCTTAGAGGTCCTTGGTCTTCTATGTCATAAATTCTGTGTAACAAAGGGAAAAAATAGCTTGTACACATGTGTCTATAAATGCATATGCACTGTATGTTTGTATGTGATTGTATAAGACTTGTGTGTATGTGTTCCCTTCGCTTCTATTCTTCCCTTGTTATGCTCTGTCTGTCACTGTCCTTGGTGCTGAAACTAGCAGACTAGCAGCTCAACTCCATGACTGGAACACCGTACTTAAGCTGCATTTCCACTGCATGGTACGGCTCGACTCGCCTCTACTCGCTCTTTTTTGGTCGGTCAAGGTTCCAAGCAACCTGAGCCAATACTAAACAGTGACATGAAAACAGTGCAGAAAATGACAGCCCGCAAAACCACGGCATGATCAGTTGACAAAGTGAAGATATATCAAGAACGGCATCGCTTTATATCCTGTTATGAATATAGTGTAGCTTCTTTTTGTGTGTGTAGAGAGTAGTTGAGTGACAGAGAGCATGCAACAAAGAGTGGCCGTCAATGGGAGCGGAGCAGAGGAAAATGTGTGAAGTAGAGTTGTCAGTCTGGCAGTAAATGTACAGTGTAGGTTAGTTTGTGAATAAAGGCTGCAGCTTCTCAAGACCAAAGTAAAGCTCCTGTATGTGTGTGCGTTGGTTCCCAGTTGCTGGAATAGCATCTTAGACTTATTTGTATAGTCTTCTTCTGTTGTTTAGTTAGACTCTTTCTCCCCCCCTCCCTTTTTTTTTTTTCTGGTACACACACACAGATGTACCGGGGGAATGTAGGCTGTGTCCTGATGAAGAGTCAGAGAGCTGTGATTTGTCATCAGCCTCCACATGAAGACCTTCATCAGAGGACAGACCCATCACTTACACTCTGATTATAATGGCCAAGGGGCCAGGGATGAGCGTGTGTTGTGGTGTGTGTGTGTGTTTGGGGAGTTGCTTATATTTATAGGGCAGAAGCAGGTGGAATTATGTCACAAATTTGCCAGAAAATCATTCAACCTACATTGGATTTTGTCAGGTAACTTGAGAAATAATAAGTGTTATTTTACCACCAGAGTCACTATTTTATAGTTTTTTAGTTATACATTTTTACATACCCATAAGCACTTTGACATTGTTTTACCGCCATTTGTTTAAGAATAAAAATGCTTTAGGAGTGCACCGGTGGCTGTAATCAAGTACAAACCAGCCTTTGACGCCGATTTCAAAAACATAAAAGACAGCAGGACCATAGTCGTAAAATGAAAACATAGTTTGAGTGGCTCATTGTTTGCGCTATCCGTTTACAATTCACACACACTGTTTCCAGCTTGGCCGTGCTTTTTATTCACACTACAAAGGAAGTGGACAAAAAGGTGGAAAACAGAGGTGTGCGTGTGTGTGATGAAGGGTAAAAAAGACCCCCCGCTGTTTCAAAGGAAAGTCCGCCTATGCACATAACCACTACCACTCTTTTTACATAACACCCAACAGGCACTCTGAGCACTCACAGTATGCCTATGGTTGTGTTAGTCCTCAGGGAGCAGCTATTGTTTTTATTTAAGCTGCTTTGAGATAGGTTGTGAATGACTATGGTGGGTTTGTGTCTGTGTCTCCTTGTTATGGGCCGTCTGGTAGGCCCCCTATTGGGGCCTTCATTCTTTGTGATGGTCCCTACACACCATCAACACCTCATCTGTTCTCTCCCATACATTCTGTCAGTTAGCAGCAGTGGATGGAAAGAAACAGACACAGGCAGTGTTTGAGTGCATATGTCCATTCACACCTCCATCTCTCTTCCTTTCTGTCTTTACCTCTTCCTGTGTCGAAGGTTATTTTACCTTATTTTGGCAGAGTAGGACATCGACCCCCTCACTCACTCTTCTCCTATCTTTCACCACTCTCCCTCCCCTTTCCTCTCCTCCTCTAACTCAGCAAAGGATGGAGAGCTGAGGAGAGAAATCATGGAGGCAGGCACGGATCATTAGCTATATTTGTCCCCACTTCCTGCAGAAGATGATAGATCTAGCTAATTACCCCATGTTGCCAAGCCTATCGCACACGACAAGCGGCCGTCGTTATGGCGGAAATCAGCGTTCGCTTGGCGTGTGCCGCATAGCTGATGCTATATGACTATTCATGAGCCCAGAGTCAAAAGAGATGAGGAAATTTCAGATCCTGTCATGGCTGTATGTGAATGTGAGTGTTCTGGAAATGATTTTAACGATACATGTTCTCCGTCTTCTTCTTCCCTCTGTGTAGAAAATGAGTTTGGAGGAGACGTGGTGAGCCGTTCCTCTCCAGCTGAACGTCAGTAGGTCACGGTGGAAGCAGAGGTCTGGACCAAAGAGCTGTCTCAACCCCAAACCATTTCAGGTCGGTTGGTGCTTCCTGATTTTACACATAAACCTGTTCAAGTGTTTTTGTTTTTGTTTGATCATTTTCAAGCTTGTTCTGATGCAGATTTGTGTGATAAATCTGAATTGTACTAGTTTCTTTTATTTTTATTATATTTTTCTAATTGTTCTAAAAATAAACAGAAACATAGCACATGACAGGTTGCCAGTTTGATCCCGAGCTTCTCCTGTCCACATGTCAAAGTGTCCTTTGGCCAACCTGAACCCCAAATCGCTCCCGATGAGTAGGCCATGTTGTGGATGGTATATCGTTGCCATTGATGTATGTGAATGGGTGAAAAACTAAATAATAAATCTCTGGATAAAAACACCATATAAAATGCAGTCATTTAAAATACAGCCATTTTAAAAATGACTCATAGCACTAACAACAAAATAAATTGAATTAAAATAAAGAACAGTACAAAAACAGTGGTACAGCATATGTCAGTTATATTGTACTTTATATAGTCAAAACAAAATTAGAGATAAAAGAATGATGTGATCTGTCGACAGAAGGAGTAGGGAGTTTGTTGGACGGGAGTCTGAGTTAGAAAAAATAAAATGCAGAATCTATAAGTCTAAAGAAAATGTTCAGGGGGGATTCTGTATTTAATCTTAAATTGTTGAAATGACAGGAGTGCCCCTGCTTCATAAAGGTTTTCTGTAGTTTTAAGCCCTAAAATACAGATTTTCATTATCCAGCAGGAAAATTTGTGTTATTAATTTATTAATTATTGGTAGAAGCCAGATGAAAGGTTTTCACAATGTGCATGTTTGGTAATACGAAATCAGTTTTTCAGTGTGTTGAATATTGGCCCTTTTATTAATTATTTCAATTTTAGAAAACCATGTGCAAACACAAGCCAATACAAACCAGTTTTTAAAAACCCCTGACAGAAGATACTTATTCTGCTCCCCACTCAATGAATGCAGTAGCAATGCAGTTTTTTAAAGATCAAATATTTTAAATGTGGAAATGAAGCTAAATAGAATCAAGATTTTGTGAAGGAAAATGTATCCAACCTCAGATCCACTCAGGCTGTATAGCAATCATTTAGGTAACAGACATAGATCCTTCACATGCTGTACTGTAACAGCTCTCTGTCATCACTGGACCAGCTGATAAATTGTCATATTGTATTCAGATCACAGCTTTTCTCACTCTAACCATTTTAGAGCCCTGCAACACTGCCATTTTCCATACTAGTTAGGAACCACTCCCCAGATTTTACTCTCTCTTTCTGTCTCCATCACCCTCGCTCTCTTTCTCACTCTGACTGTCAGCGCCCACTCAGATGCTATCTCCACAGCCCTTCACACTAATTCAGATGCACTTAGCATCGGTTTGGCACACATGTTTACTGTCACTAGATGATGCACGGCGTAAATACCTATTTGCAGTGAAATTCAATAGTGCCAGTGCAGTTTTGGTGGCTCCCTGCTGCTACACTGTACAGAATACCAATGTGAGAGTGTGAGCGTGTGTGTGCATGTGTGTGTATATGTGGCGGAGGGTGGGGTTGGGCGCCATATGCCTCAAACACATTTTCCCAAAACTTCAAGGTGAAAACAAAGGGAAACTGATAACGATGTGAATTGTTGTGACAGATGTCTAAGCACCCCCATCTCCCCCATCACCACCACCAAAATGATAAACACACACGTACAAAATGCTTCTTCTATGTCTCAGTGCATATTACAATAATCACTGCATTTCTTATGATGTTTCCTTCCCAGTAATATCCTGATTCTTCTCTATCAAACAGCAAAAACCTTCTTCTTGTTTCTGTTTGCAATTTGTCTGTGTCTGATGGTATTCCTGGGTCCTATGAAATGACGAAGACACTAATAATAGGCACAGCTACTTTAATTTCCAAGGAAGAGAATTTACATGTCAACTGTACAATCAATACCCACACAAACACAGTTGGCATTTGGACAGCTGCTTTTTCCAATATGTGCGCTGAATAAAAAGTTTAGCTACACTCCACATTCCATTCACAACAAGCATTCAAAGGATGCCAGTCTTCTATGAGAATTTATCTTTGTGCTGAATTAAACATTATTTATAGGCTTATTTGGTGTGCATTTGAAATGGGATGCAGCCACTTCATGCAGCCATCCCAGACCTTGTGTTTTCTAAAGTGAATAAAATCCTTGCATATATGCTGCATAATATGCCACATGGATTAAAATTCATGGATGCAAATGATAAAACATGGAAAGAACTTCTGTCGTACACATTCAGAGGCAATGAATGGCAAATAGGAATATGAAGTACAACAGGATTTATACCTAATTACCTACTGGCTTGTGCTTGTGGTTTTGAATATACCAACTGAATCCCAGTGGAGCTCATGTGTGAAATGAAATGGTGAATTACTCTAACACAAGTTTACTACCTCCACTTTGCTTTAGTATTCCCAATATTAAGTTTGTGCAACAAAACAATCAATGAAAAATTGCCTTTCCAAATTATTATAAGAATCTTATTTATTTGTTTGATTTAAGTGACAGATCACAATAATAACTGTTGTTATATAGTGTAAATTAAAGTAGAAATACATTGTAAATGTGGAATTATTAAAAATAAGATTAGAACATCCTTACAAATTAGAAAACATATATTGACATTAAATATGTTTGTTGTCCTTGTCCTGTGAAAACAATGTACCTTTCAAAACTTTTCATAAACTAACAAAAACAACAGTTTTCAGCTTTTTGACAGCTTTTTCAGATAATCCCATAGGTTTATTTATTTTAAGAAATTAGAGACTTTTCTCAACACAAAAAGGAACACTTATTAAATTTAAAATCACTCAATTTGGAGAGATGTGGTTTTCACTGGACAGCAATGCTATGAATTTGACTGCAAAATGTATTTGAATTCTTGTTTAAATTATATGAATTGGTTGTGTAGAAATAGGAGAATATACAGTGTTTTCTCTGGAGATTGCATCATTATATGTGTTTGCCTAACTAGCCAACCTAAACTTTTAGAGCTTGGATCAACGTGACTCTGTGGTTATTCATCTGGGCCCGTAAAGCAATTGATCCAGGGTCTAATTGAGACGCAAAGAGAAGGAGTGGGCCTCTTCCTAATCCTCAATAAGCAGGCTAACCTTCATTACAGCCGTGACATTTTCCCGTGGGGTGCTAAGAGAGAGAAAAAGCCAGACAGAATATGAAGGGCTCTCCAACATATGGCGAAGCCACAGAGGCGTGCATGCTTCCTGGGTCCAACTCTCACGAGGAGCCTTGAGGGAAGGAAGCAGAGGCGACAAGACTTACACTGCTGCTGCCGTTATTGTTGCTGTTGTTTTATTCTGCTGCTGGATTTGCTTGTTGTTGACGCTGTGTTCAGCACTGATGCAGGCCTCGCTTAAAACCGGGACCCTCAGAGAGAGTCTGACAGCTTCAGATAGGCACTGTTAGTATGCACAGCACCTATCACACTGTGTGCGTGCACTTCAGATAAGCATGCATTTAAACAAGTCAGTCTCATATTTTAGTCCACGGCTAATATGTTGTTTATGTCATTTAATTCAGACTGCTCACTGTTGGTTAAAGGGTTGATGAAAGTCGATCAAAGAGATTCTTTTCATATACCTATTTTAATTAAATTATCAATAACGTTGTCATAGGAACAAATGCTTCATTCCATGTACCCATTCAAACTTTGTAAGAGTGGCATGGCTCTGGAGGTAGTTGTCTAGTAATCATAAGGTTCCTGGTTTGAGAAAGCGTCAAAGACACTGAACCCCTAACCGCTCCCAATGAGGTGTTTGGCACTTTGCATGGCAGCCTGTACCATCAGTGTATGCATGTCTGTGTGATACAAATGCTGCTACTGCTGTTAAAAAAAGCTTTACATTTCTGACAGCAGGAAAACCATTTGTTTAGATAATAGGTGTGAGCTAACCGGAACAATATGGCTGAACAGACAGAGTAGACGGAGTGCTAACTACAAACTCTCAAAATCTAAACTCAAACTTTAAATCCATGACATATAAAATCAAAATCACAGCACAAGTTATCTCTGCATATTTCAGTACATAAATAGCAGCCATGAGTACACAGTAACTAAACTAAAAATAATAAACAGAAACATCTTGAAGCTTAGATTAAATTGACATGTAATTAATTGCATAGAAATGTAATGTGTTTTTCAATGTGTGGCAGAAATGATCTCTTGCGTAAAGAGTCAACTACTGCATCAAGGAACACAGACACAGAAGGCAGAGTGCTGTAATGTCTGTGCACTATTGTTTAGACACAAACGAGTCCATGTGCTGTAAGAAAATATGTGTGCAACATGATTTCTAACACTTTGAAGTGGATTGCACATGTTGAACGGACGCTATCACTCCTGCTTGTTTTGTTCTAGAGAACCTTTGATAAAACACAACAATGATGAGGCTGATGATAGATGCTCAGTGAGAGGGGACTATCTCCATGGTCACATGACCGCTTCAGAAACATTCAAGGTTACACACTCACATACGTACACACACTCATAATACTCTCTGCTCAGTCTCTGTCTGAATGCTGTCTGCCTGAAAGGTGAAAGAAGAGAATTGGATTGATAAGTTGTTATTTTCCTTTGTCCTTTCTTTTTTTTCCCAAGGAAGAATTTATTTTCCATTGCCATGGAAACCGCAGTTCGCCTCATGTAAAATATATATATTTATAAGTAAAAATAGTAGCCTCCTAATAGTTTAGATCACCCTCCCCAAAATACTCCAGGTTGTTCCCTCCCTGCTACGCTAATAAGATTTACAAGGTATCCTTGCCTTTCATCATTTTATTTTTCTCCTGTTGAAACATTTATGGGCATTCATAAAGAAACACACCATTAGGGCTGAGGGGCTCTACAGTACAGTAAGTGTGGTGTTAATAAATCATGTTTAATAAAAAGAGACATCCAAACAGGGCCACGGCCCCCGTCATAGTCCTAACCCAGCAAGCATGAATATTTAGGGACATCTGCAAATAACAGAGTGACATTCAGAGGCGTTCAGGATCCTCAACAATTTATGATGTGCTGGTGAGGGGATAGACCCACCTTTAGAAGGATATGTTGGTCGGACATACATGAAAGAGAGGTGGAAGGCAGGATAATGCTTACTCTGCCGTATCAAAAGCTTGAAAGGCCTGAATACTGAGGAGGAGGCAGCATAAATGGAAACCATACAGTTAATGTTGGATGGTGTTATGTCTGCAGTTCATCTGTAAAATTACTGAATGGTTGGCCACACTCTCATGAATGAGTGCATGAATGGTTGGACAGATAGATAGGGTGGATAGGTGGATGGATGGAGTGACTAATAAATGAATACTTCAGAAATGATCTATTGCATCATTTCAAAATGCGAATTTATATTCCATAAACATCGAATATATGATTAAAAAACAGTTTTTCTGAAGCAACAGAGGATGATCTCTCAATTCACAAACAAATTAATCTGTTCATTTCTTTTGGCCAATATGTGTCTTTACATGAACTAGGGAGAAGCATTATAACCAGTGATGACAAAATATTGCCTGTTGATTAAAGAGATCCATTTTTGCATTCTTCTAAATTCAGCAGAACAGATGTACTTTCCAAAGACACTGGGCCAGTCTCATTTACTCAGCATTGATTTAAAAATAACAGGAATTCCTTATTCTTTAAATTATTTGAATCATTTACACAAATTTGTAAATGATTATAGCCTGCTTGTCAGTCAGTAGTCTGAAGTACGTTACATCAAACATTACAACATTACAAACATTAAGTGTTGCAAACATCAGGTGTGAATTGCATTTTTGACAAGGGGAATAAAAGTACTCTGAATGTGAACGTGTATCCAAATTAAAGATAATTTTGCGATGCTGTCTGTTGTGTGGTTAACAGCTTGTTTGTGCCTTCTCTGCAGATGGAGGTGGATGCAGACGATAAGCGCCATCGCACACGCTCCAAAGGTATCAGCATGGATACACACACATACACACAGCGGCATTGCCATTGAGGATGACCTTCACTCCCCCAGCACAAACACACACATGCACAGACATAAGCACACACATATACTGTACACACACCACTGCACAAATCCCAGACTGTCACAGTTGAGTTGCCTTTTCTCACTGCTCTCTCTCTTCCTCTGTTTCTCTTTTTATATATCTTGCAGAAACAGAATCACAAAGTCCACATTTTAAGAGGTTTGTTCAAAATGAAATATCTACCACAGTGACATCTAATCCTACAAAACTATACATAGTGCAAAGTGAAAACGAATTATGGATCTTTCTTTCATGTAACTCCAACAGATGACACTCTTTACATATTTTATTAGTTTTAAAAAGAAACTAAGTGTTAACAAGACTTACACCAATTGTACCCTCCTAACCAAGGGCAAAATCTTCAGTCAGACATTGGGGGGGTAGGTAACACCCTGAAAAACACACACAAGTAAAATAAAGCACCAGTGGTCAAGCGTGTGTGCATTTTGACCAACAATACAATGTGAACCTGTTGAGTTCACAGCAACTGCATACGGCAACAGTTTAGTGACAAATCAATTACAGACCCAGTTTTCAGAATGCAAGTGACTGAGTGAAACTCAGAGCATCATCTAGCCTGTTACTGTACACTAAAAAACTCCCAACCAGATGTGTTTATCAAGAGTGGTAACACACTGGTTTATATTCAACATTACAGCAATTTAAATATACTGTGTTTTACCTGTGAAGTAGACCTGTGAGTGATTAACTGTGCATGGAGTGTGTAGGATACAGAACAGCCAAAAACTTGAGCACATGCTCATGAGCCGTGCGCACAGCTGTTGTGTTCACTGTTGCTGGTCGACATGTAAACCAGCTTGAAGGGGTTTTGGAACCATTCAGTGCGTTTTGGAGTCACATGAATATTGAGGGGAGAATATTAACTTTCTTTACATGCACGACACGCTTGCACCTAACCTGGTTACATAAAACTAAAACACTGAAAAGGCTCACCGGCCCTCATCTTACTCCTTTCCAGCCCCTGTCCACTCTCACAGGTTAAAAGCAACTAAAAAGGAAAGACCATGTTTTAATCAGAGGACCCTCTTGATGCATATTTTATTTCCTTCAACTATTATTAGAAAGTATCTAACATCTTTGACCGAACAAAGACAAGGTGCTGACCCTTTTTCCTACATCAAGTAGATTTAGCACCTTGTTAGCTGTAACCACGAGGCCCTCGTTTGATTGAGTTACATATGTCCCCTGCTTGTCGGCCAAAGAGTGACCAAATGTTTGAGTGGAGGACTGACACTGAAATCCTTATTATATCTGTGTCCGAAATCACTCCTTCATTCACTTCTAATTCAGTAGTTTACTCTATAGAGAGCAGGAAATTTGGATTTTGGACACAGAATCAACATCATTTTCTGTCTTAACAGCTTTCAAATGACACACACATCTATAAAATACAAGACATTGCAGTTTGTGAATGTTAGTGGAAAATAATGGATGCTACTTTTTTTTGTTCCATTCTGAGAATAGATGCATTTCATAGCAGATAGTTGGCTTGTTAAAGCAGGAAAAGCAGAGGTGTAAATGATATTAATAATGGCTGCATTCCATTAAGTATCCCAGTAAACCACGTCAGTGAGTGAGCATGCACAATACTAGAATCAGCCAGTTCCAGGCTCACCTAAATGGAATGCAGCCATCATTAATGTTATTCATTCCACCTGTGCTTTTCATGCTTTGACAAGTCAAAATGTCTACTGTGAAGAGGGTCCATTTTTAGGGCACTATAAATTACATTTCACACTCAGAATTTAGACACTCAAATAAAATGGTGGACAATAAATTCTAAATATAGGAGATAAGGAGCGATTTTAGTCACATGCTATGTCTCCTTAGCTCTGGTGTGTATGCTTACACTTACATTAATGGTGTTAATGTGAGTAATTTTAGGCAATTAGCACGTTGAAACAAAAGAGCATACGTTATGCCAGTTAGTCAGCCTGGTATTGGATTTAGATTGTAATTTCTGTGGCGCCTGGGGTAGCTCACCTAGTAGAGCTGGCGCCCCATGTACCAAGGCTGAGTCCCTGCTGCAGCGGCTGTAGATTCATACAGTATTTCAGATGGAAGTAATTGGCATTTTAAAGAAAAGCATACAGTATTTCAGAAATGATATCTTAATTTTAAAAGTACTAAATTATACACATAGGTCAAGGACATTTTTTACAATTATATATATTGTTTATAATTTGTGTTCACACAAATACAACCACATTTCAACATTTTATTTTGCTTAAGGTATTTTAATTCATTATATTGTTAACCTACACAGATCAAACATCAGAATAATCAACTATTCAGCAGATTCATTTTTATGTGTTATACAAAGAGCCTGTGGATTTAGCATGCACAAGTCAGTCTTGTTTCATAATCTCTCTCTCTGTCTCTCTCTCTCTCTGTCTCTCTCTCTCTCTCTGTCTGTCTCTCTGTCTCTCTCTCTCTCTCTCTCTCTCTCTGTCTCTCTCTCTTAGTGCCTGTGGATCCAGCATTAACAGAGCTTTTCAGGTCAGTGGAATTGTAAAAACTGGTACATAAGCACACACACACAAAAAGAAGAAACACACACACACACACACACACACACAGAAGCAACACAAATGCACAGACAGGCAGAAAATAGCCAGAGAGATGCAAACACATACTCATATACACCCACACACACACAAACACACACAAAATTGGTCTGCCGTTGTCTTAGTGGCGAGGTAGAGATAGTCAAACAGTGCCTGGATCAACTGTCACCTTATTACCAACCAGAGACATTTCAGCCTTTCCTGTTTGATAGCTGCCCTCACATCAGCAACCACTCACCAAAGTGTGCTTTGACGCCAGATCTCTCTCCTCCTCTTCATTCAGTTCCTCTTGCTTTCCCCTCTATTTTTCTGTTACTTCAAACATGAAGAGATACTTTCTCTCTCCTCATCCCTCCCTCCTAGTGTGAATTTCTCACTCTGTCTCCCTCCTCTCTTTGGACATCTTCAATGTCACAAAAGATGATAACAGCAGAACAGAAACAACAAGCACCAAATTATTTCTTCCCTCTAGTTAATACAATTCCCACATATTAAATATTAAATAAGAGGGTTTTCTCTTCTTTTAATGTTCCAACTAGACAAGCTAAATAATTCTGTTTTTGTCTCATGTACTTGGTGATATTTAGCATGATAGCCAATTATCAATTCATTACCCATGCAGTACAACTCTTTCTCTCTTTCTACGCCTACAGCCTTAAAGTTCTTGTTGGGTGATTTGAGTGGGTGGAAGGTAGAACGCAACTTTATTTCAAATTTGAAGGTTTTCTTTATCACTGGAAAAGTTTCTTCCCAATATAATTTTTAAGAGCTATTGTCATTCTTTAGGAATGCAAAATGCACTCTTGGCTTCTGTGTTTTGTTGATGTCATGTTAGTGTGCATGAGGTTCCTGCTTACTTATTATTTTTATGATTATTACTGTCATTGATGTTATTTTGCATCAACACACAATTACAAGATATATATTATTCATAGCTGCTGCCCAGGTACATTGCAGTTCTGCACTCCTGCAGAGCAGCTACCTAAACTCTAGCAGGCTACATGTCAAGTCTCTGCTAGTATTGTTGGCCTCTAAATACATCAATATATATTGGTTTGATATATGTATTTTAGTGAAATACTCCATTTAGACCTTAAGAGTTCAGAGCACTCCTACAGGATGTTTTAGTACTGAGTAGAAGTGAAGAAAAAATGATAATAATGAATTTATACAACTACCAATGCCTATGTATTTGGTATCATGACAGTAGCAGAAATAAGAAATTGACTGGATACAATAAAAGTATTTAAATTATTACATAAAGCAATTCTTAACACTACCAAGCACTTAACTATCTACTATCTACTGTCTAACTATGCACCAAACTGCAGCAGCGAGTCTTGCTCATCAGACAGCGGTAACAGTATCCATAGGCTGAGTGTACTTTCTGTCTGCCTCAGCTTTGGGGCTCACAGGCTTGGTGAGCCCCAAAGCTCCCAATTGGTCTCTTCGGTATTCTTCTGCATCCAGGCAGTAGTTTGACATAATGGCAGATGCCGAGGGCATTGAGTATTTATGGATGCAGTTTTAATATTAAATTGGACTAACATTTTTTTGCTCAGACTCAGACAAACTCAGATTATACCTCAAAAGTGGGCATTTTGGTCATAGTTCAGTATTATAATCCTAGCACACTGAGAAGCTTCTCTCCTGTGTGGCTCCTGACAGCCCTGTCAGCCTATGTGCCAATCACAGTCGTCGGCAGTACAGGAAGCACTGGTGGCACCTACTGTAGTTCAAAAGAAGTTTACTTGACTTCAATTGCATTTAGCACTGGAGCTGAACACGCTGGAGAAGCAAACAGAAACTTTCCCCTCCTTTTCCATCACTTTTATTTATCTGTTTTTACAGTTAGTTATGTAGTCAGGTGACTTTGAAACAAGACTTGGTTTGACCCGTGCACAATGACTCAGCTATAAAAATGTTAAAAGTGCACTAATTCAACTGACAATGAGGTTCATCGACATTTAGGGGGCAGCCCTCGAAGACAGTGCAAGAACCAAAATGATAAACAATACCAATTTTAACAGAAATAACCTTGTTACTTGCCATCTAAATTTACCATCTAGTCCTAAGCATTGGCCTTAATAGAGCCCTTATACTTGCATTGTATCTTATTGACTTCGGTCACATGCAGTGCAACATGGTCTCTTGGGAGGATGAGTGAAGCCCAGAGGATTTAACTGGAGTTCATTAATGTTAGCCACTCAGCCTGCCTGTCCACGCCGGTTCCAGTTCTGACTGTTACATTAGCCATGCATGCAGAGGCTAGAATGAGTTTTACACATATATGTTGTTGTTTTTTTACTTTCTTATTATTTTTACTATCATTTGCAGAGTGTAAAGTATAACCTGTAACCTGTAGTAATTCAAGGATGGGTATTTCAGTGTCCTCTACTTGTCTTTGCAAGTTGTTTCCACCACAGTAATGTGTAAATTTAATTTTGTCCTTGGCTGTGTGTTAGGGGGTGGTTGCAGCTAAGATAAGGGCCCCAGCCTACCTATATATCAATAAATAATATTCCACCTGGAAGATTACCGTGTAGCCTTTAGCTGATATTCATAGATAGTACAAGGTGTACTCTCCCTCCCCTCTCTCCCCCAGTCCTTCACCCCCTTCACTTTCACTCTTTCCCCCCTTTCCCCATTTTCTGTCATTCTCACCTCCCTCTCTCACTTTTTCTATCTCCCTCCCTCCTCTCTCTCTCCCTCCCTCACTCTGCTGCTGCCTGCAGATAGTAATTAATCAGGGGATCGATGTGAAGCCTATCTCCAGGCTGAGGCGTCTATAATGTCGATAATGCTGCTCGATGGCCTCTCTCCCCAGAGAGCTGATAGTCTTCAGGACGAACAGGCTTGACTTTGCATGGAGCAGCCTGGGCTGCGTCAGATAGGCTGTTGTTGTAATGCTTGTGTGTTTTATGTGCATCCATGTGAGCCTTTACTCACATACAGCAAACACACACACACACACGGGAAAGGGGTCGAGAACGATGTACGATGACATAGGTCAGGTGGATGACATTACAAACAAATTACAGCAACTGGACTGAGGAAATGCAGACTGCATTGTTGTAGGATGTAGCATACATTTATGTATTATAAATGGCTTATTATCTGAGACAATGTTTTTAGATTGCCTATATCTTGTTCTACAGTAGCAACAAAAGGTTGTGGGTTTCATACAATATAACTGAATTATGATGTAACTGCTGAAGATTTGACACAAGTCTGGAATTTTTACTTCTTCCAACCTGGCTCAAAATGCCTATGAACCTGTTGGCATTGCTGGCTGCTTTCCGATAAAAGCTTCACCTGCAAAATTGAGGTGTTATTTTTTTTTATTTATTTTTTTACAGCATCCCAACTTAAAGTTTACCCATAAATTGACAACTTTTTTATATACAGGTGATTTTTTTCTAAAGGCACCAACAGTATAACATTGATATTGTTAGGGTGAAAACAGACATTATTGAGAATTCCTTATCACAGCTTAATTTTACAATACAGTTAAGAACCAATGCATGATAAATACTACTACAATAAAAAATCAGTACAAAACAACCAGTTCAGTTTTAGTCCGGTTTAGGAGAAAAACATTATTAATTAAGCTTTCTGTCATTAGACCAGTGGAACCGAAAATAATAACAGTAGTAATTATGGACATTTTCATGGGGATTTGTAATTTAGTCACAAACATGTATTAAATGTACTTGTACCTTAAGCATATATTAGCACTTGACTGATCAATCATCTAGGCTTTTATATGATGGGAACAAGATTGTTATCAAAATGTTTCTCTGTTACGTGTATTTGAAAAAAATATGAATATAGCGTACTCTTGTCTGCTTTCTTCAAATATCAATATTCAGACATCTTCAGCAGTTCAGAAACAGAACTATCATGGTAATCACAGACCCCCAGGGTAGTTCTGAATATACTGTATGGCAGAAGTACAACAAGCAGTGAACCTTTGTGAGTTTAATTGAAGTGGTATTATTGGTGCCTTACAGTACAGTGGCACACAGTGCTGATACAGGACACAGAGAATAAAACTCAGGTTTGTTGACATGTGGGAAGCAGCAGTTTAGAGAGGGTGCTTTCAGCATGCGCCTGTGCGTCATTAGTGCCGCTGCCCCGTGTCTGTGCACAATGAAAGCTGCCACAGCAGCAGCAAATATGAAAGACATGGAAGGTATTTCATAAATATATTTGATAAATAAAAACATTTACTTTCAGGTCAGTCTATATTTTGATGAATAAATAAGCAGTCCTATTAGTCTGCGTTGTCTTGATAATGAATGTATTTAATAAATTACTGGCCTGGAAGCAAGACTCTACACAACAGTGGTTACATAGCTTTTTGCTTCTCAAGCAATCCTTCCAATGGTAGAGATATACCCAAAATAACACAGTCACAGAGCTACCTAATCTAAACAACAGAATCCAGTCTCCATCCAGCATACCAAGAAATGAAGACAAGGTCTTTCATATTTCTGATTAGACAGTCTGGAACCACTCTCACAAGCTTGGCTTGTAAGTAGGTAAAAGGCCAGGGTCAGTTATCCATGAAAATGCAGAAACACATACGTTTTATACTTAAAAGAAATTGTCCTACCACAGCATCCCTTTCCATTCAAAGCTCCAATTACATGGTTGAATTTCTTTTATGAAAGAAAAAAATAGAAATAGCTTAAACAGAGACTCCATCTCAATAAACCTCATCATGGTTTTCATAAGTGAGGTGGGGTGGGGGAGGGGCTGTGCTAGACAGAGAGCTCACAGCATAAACATTCCCCTCCACATCTCTTTTGTCATTTGCATATTTACAGTCTGCCATGCTAATCATGTTTATTGGGGTGTATAAGTACTGCGCATGAGCTCAATAGGGAAGGATTGCTTTGCGCTAGAGACGGCATGGCAGTGGCACTG